GGCTCTGGTGGAGAGCACAGGCTTTTAAAATTCCCGATTCAATTCCTTGGTTATTTGGTGTCTTATTTTTCTTGTTATTTTGTTCACTGATGTGTTTTTCTGGTATGTTTCCATTTCCTCGAAGTTTTAAAGCTCAGTGTTGCCGCTGGTGTTGCTGGTCAGGATGGGCTCTGAGTGGATGGTACCCCTGGATTAACAGCACCTCGCTTCTTCGCATGTCTGTGGACACAGCACACGCAATTTCTTGCCGCCTCAAAGAATGGCCCCCACTGTGGGCCTAATTTGCAGTGATTTAATTCAAAAGAAAACTCCGGACGGTCACATGGCCTAGGAAAACTGGGCTGTGGTTCTGTAATTTTGGGTCCCGGCCTTCCTGCCACTTCTTTCTAGAGAGGCAGTTTAAGTTCTTGGATTGCACACCAGTGTGGGTGCCCGGACTCCTCCTTTGGGCAGCTTAGCTGTCTCCGGGCCCCTAAACTGTCAGGGCAGCCCCAAGTCATTTCTGCCAGAGACAGCGGACCCCCCTCCTGGGGAGGCTGCGACCTGGTGCAGGAGCTCGGAGCCCTCGGCCCGGCCGTGCGCGCTGCTTTGGTGGAATCTCACGGAGGCAGCGAGCCACGTGCGCCCTAGGCTCCCTCAAGTCCAAGGAAGGGCTCAGTGCCAGCGCCCGCCTCCCTGGGCGGCTCCGGGGAGATCAGGGTCCCTGAGTGGCAAATGCCGCCTCCAGCCGGAAACGGGCGGGTAGACGGCTTTGGGGAGGAATCTCTCTGCGGGGCAGGCGCACAGTTTCTTTGTCCCTTGAAAGTTCAACAGACTCTCCACGAATCCCTGTGCGCCGGCTCTGGTGGAGAGCACAGGCTTTTAAAACTCCTGATTTAGTTCCTTGGTTATTTGGTGTCTTATTTTGTTCATTGATGTGTTTTTCTGTGTATGTTTCCATTTCCTCGAAGTTTTAAAGCTCAGTGTTGCTGCTGGTGTTGCTGGTCAGGATGGGCTCTGAGTGGATGATACCCCTGGATTAACAGCACCTCGCTTCTTCGCATGTCTGTGGACACAGCACACGCAATTTCTTGCCGCCTCAAAGAATGGCCCCCACTGTGGGCCTAATTTGCAGTGATTTAATTCAAAAGAAAACTCCGGACGGTCACATGGCCTAGGAAAACTGGGCTGTGGTTCTGTAATTTTGGGTCCCGGCCTTCCTGCCACTTCTTTCTAGAGAGGCAGTTTAAGTTGTTGGATTGCACACCAGTGTGGGTGCCCGGACTCCTCCTTCGGGCAGCTTAGCTGTCTCCGGGCCCCTAAACTATCAGGGCAGCCCCAAGTCATTTCTGCCAGAGACAGCGGACCCCCCTCCTGGGGAGGCTGCGACCTGGTGCAGGAGCTCAGAGCCCTCGGCCACACGCGCTGCTTTGGTGGAATCTCACGGCGGTGGAGACCCACGTGCGCCCTGGGCTCCCTCAAGTCCACGGGAGGGCTCGGTGCCAGCGCCCGCCTCCCTGGGCGGCTCCTGGGAGATCAGGGTTCCTGGGTGGCAAATGCACCTCCAGCCGGAAACGGGCGGGTAGATGGCTTTGGGGAGGAATCTCTCTGCGGGGCAGGCGCACAGCACCTGAGAAGCTGTGTCTGGGGAGCAAAGCGAGAATGCAGAGGTCCCCGCAGCACCTGGAGGGAGAGAGAGGGCTCCGGGGCGCTGCTCCGCCTCGCCCGCTGCTGTTTGCTCGACCGCCACCAGGGGGCGATGCGCCCTCGTCCTGCGTCCAGGAAGCCGGGGTGCGGGGGTGACCCGTGCGCATCCCTCCTGTGGATTAGAAGGGGCCCGAGACCCGAGAATCCTGGCCTCTGACGCACACTGCTAGGCGGTCCAATGGTGAGAGCTCTCAGGTCCTCCGGGAATGTCGGAGGACAGTCACTCCAGGGGACATGAGGCCACCCTGGCAGCGGTGTGCTTACGATTTAATTCAAAAGAAACCCCCGGAGGGTCACGTGGTGAGGGAAAACTGGGCTGCGGTTCTGTAATTTTGGGCCCCGACCTTCCTGCCACTTCTTTCTAGAGAGGCAGTTTAAGTTCTTGGATTGCACACCAGTGTGGGTGCCCGGACTCCTCCTTTGGGCAGCTTAGCTGTCTCCGGGCCCCTAAACTGTCAGGGCAGCCCCAAGTCATTTCTGCCAGAGACAGCGGACCCCCATCCTGGGGAGGCTGCGACCTGGTGCAGGAGCTCAGAGCCCTCGGCCACACGCGCTGCTTTGGTGGAATCTCACGGCGGTGGAGACCCACGTGCGCCCTGGGCTCCCTCAAGTCCACGGGAGGGCTCGGTGCCAGCGCCCGCCTCCCTGGGCGGCTCCTGGGAGATCAGGGTTCCTGGGTGGCAAATGCACCTCCAGCCGGAAACGGGCGGGTAGATGGCTTTGGGGAGGAATCTCTCTGCGGGGCAGGCGCACAGCACCTGAGCAGCTGTCTCTGGGGAGCAAAGCGAGAATGCAGAGGTTCCGCAGCACCTGGAGGGAGAGGGCGCGGGGCGCGCTGCTCCGCCTCGCCCGCTGCTGTTTGCTCGACCGCCACCAGGGGGCGATGCGCCCTCGTCCTGCGTCCAGGAAGCCAAGGTCAGGGGTGCGCATTCCTCCTGTGGATTGGAAGGGGCCAGAGAATCCTGGCCTCGGACTCACACTGCTAGGCGGTCCAATGGTGAGAGCCCTCAGGTCCTCCGGGAAAATGTCGGAGCAGTCACTCCAGGGGACATGAGGCCACCCTGGCAGCGGTGTGCTTAAAGCCATTGCCAGGATCCAGACAGAGTTGTCACCAGCAGGAGGAAAGCGATGAATTGCCATTATGGGGAACAGCCTGGGAGCTCGGGACCAAAGGGGCCTTAGAGCCGTGTGTGGGGAAGGCAGAACTCGCCAACCCTGAGAGAGGCCCTTTCACGTCGGGCCCCAGCCAAGGATGACAGCTGTCATGAGCTCCCACTGCACCTCCTGTCCACCCAGCGAGGTCCGAGCTCTCCCGGGCTGGTGGCCGGGGAGCCCAGGGGCCTTTGTAAGACACGAGGGTGTCTACTCTCCATTTCTGGAACCTGATGTGTCCAACGGTGACTGCACTTTGCTGCTATACTGGAGAATAATTTGTCCCATTATAACTTTGAAAAGAGCAGTTTCTCAGCGTTGGTGTTAGGGTCACCTGGGGAAGTTTTAACGCCGTGCCCAGGCCACGCTCCAGACTGAGTCAGAATGTCTGGGGAACGAAGCCCAGGTCTTGGTGTTTCTCAAAGCCCTGCCAGTGACTCCAAGGCACAGCCATTCCTTGGAGTTTCCCCTAACCCGGCAGGTGCTGCAGGTGCAGGGGCCGGGGCTGGAAGCTCCCACAGGCCTGCGGGGCTTGGCTGTTGGCCTGATGGGATTAGAGGGCAAGTTCCAAGAAGGTCAGGGGTGCGCATTCCTCCTGTGGATTGGAAGGGGCCAGAGAATCCTGGCCTCGGACTCACACTGCTAGGCGGTCCAATGGTGAGAGCCCTCAGGTCCTCCGGGAATGTCAGAGGACAGTCACTCCAGGGGACATGAGGCCACCCTGGCAGCGGTGTGCTTAAAGCCATTGCCAGGATCCAGACAGAGTTGTCACCAGCAGGAGGAAAGCGATGAATTGCCATTATGGGGAACAGCCTGGGAGCTCGGGACCAAAGGGGCCTTAGAGCCGTGTGTGGGGAAGGCAGAACTCGCCAACCCTGAGAGAGGCCCTTTCACGTCGGGCCCCAGCCAAGGATGACAGCTGTCATGAGCTCCCACTGCACCTCCTGTCCACCCAGCGAGGTCCGAGCTCTCCCGGGCTGGTGGCTGGGGAGCCCAGGGGCCTTTGTAAGACACGAGGGTGTCTACTCTCCATTTCTGGAACCTGATGTGTCCAACGGTGACTGCACTTTGCTGCTATACTGGAGAATAATTTGTCCCATTATAACTTTGATAAGAGCAGTTTCTCAGCGTTGGTGTTAGGGTCACCTGGGGAAGTTTTAACGCCGTGCCCAGGCCACGCTCCAGACTGAGTCAGAATGTCTGGGGAACGAAGCCCAGGTCTTGGTGTTTCTCAAAGCCCTGCCAGTGACTCCAAGGCACAGCCGTTCCTTGGAGTTTCCCCTCACCCGGCAGGTGCTGCAGGTGCAGGGGCCAGGGCTGGGAGCTCCCACAGGCCTGCGGGGCTCGGCTGTTGGCCTGATGGGATTAGAGGGCAAGTTCCAAGGAGTTTGGCGACTCACAGCAGAAATCGGTGTCACAGGTTTGCTTTATAGGAAGGAATACAGGTGTGTTGAGGGCATCCCAGGAGGGAGGTAAACTGGCCTCTGTCACATGGAGGGGCTGAGCCTGGGCCTTGGGCCCCAGAGTGTCTCATACGATGACCCGTCTCATCTGGTGACCTGCCCCATTGGTTATCCTTGCGCTTTAAGAAAATTCACACCCAAAGATGAACCTGGTTTGCGCTGTGCTGGGGGCTCAGGAAAGAGTCCAGTGGGCAGGTAAAGAGGTTTAGGCTGACGTGGTGGCTGGGCACAGCAGGCGGGGGCAGCATGGCATGAGCAGTGACCGCAGACAGAGCAAGCGAGTGGCAGAAATGCATGGTGTCACAGTGACTTGGAACCTCTGTGAATCTCTCTCCCCAAGACTGCCCAAGGCCCCAGACCCCTTGAAAGCGAGGCTGGAGGTTCTGTGGGGAGGGCAGAAGGGAGGGGCGAAGAGGCGTTATTAATTGGGCATTGTGATCAATGTCATCGCTCTGTACTGAGGATCTGTGATCAGTGTCATTGCTCTGTACTGAGGATCTGTGATCAATGTCATTGCTCTGTACTGAGGATCTGTGATCAATGTCACCTCAACTGTACTGAAGAGCTGTGATTAATGTCACCTCATCTGTACTGAAGAGCTGTGATCAATGTCACCTCATCTGTACTGAGGAGCAGGTGAGGCCCACCACACATTGGCTATAATCAAATCAGTAACTCCTCACTTAACATTGTCCATAGGTTCCTGGAACTGCGCAAAACGATGGATACAGAAACCACGGTTGCCATAGCTAATTGATGTAAACAAGAGTTAAGTTCTCACGGCATCTTATGGCAAAACGATGTTGAATGAAACGACGTTATTTGAAGCCCTGCTTTCGCTCAAGAGTATGTATAGCTCAAGCCCTGGTCACGTTTCCCTTAACAGCAGCCCCAGTCTCCGTGGCCCTCCGTGTGGAGCGGGAGCCGTGGTGCCGCAGGGAGGTCAGTGGCCGAGCAGTCGGGGCCGGAGGTCCGGCATTTATACTTGGTGCATGTGTACGGGGTGGCGGTGGCTTTGAGTCAAGGCTCTTCCCTGGCTGGCGATGGCCAAAGTGAGCTATGGCGTCTGAGTCTGTGCTGTCTGGGACGGTTGGTCTGCGGCCTTCCCGAAGCAGAACCCGGGGCCAGCAGGCAGTGACCTCCCCTGAGCAAGAACCAGCGTCGTTTAGAAACATCTGTAACGTAGCTCTTTACCGTCCTCAAGACCCTCCCCAGCCAACTCACCCGGTCCCTCTAGGCATGATTTCAAGCACTGTGTCGCCATAGAGATGATTCAGGCTCCTGTTGCCATGGTGACCGTTCTGTGAGCTAAAACGCTTCCATCAATCCTCCCCCCCTTGCCACTGCCATATGATGTAAACATATATATATACATGATATGAAAATCATATATATGCATCCTTTCTGAGCATGTACAAGTGTTTTGAGGTCAACACATGTCTTGGCGAGCAGAGTGGTTCAGGTGACACGGCCTGGTCTCTGTGACCGATGCCACATACCCGACATTGTACAGGTCACGAGTCAAATGAGGGCTGTGGGGGGGCAGAGCACTCCCAAACGCAGGCTTTTCAGGAACCGTGGGAGAGAATGCCGCTCTGGCCTGACGCCGGAGGCAAAGGGACCACGCCACCCACGTGCGCCCTCCCAGGAGAGAAGGAAGCGCAAAGGTGCTGACTGTCCTGAGGACAGGAACGACAGAGGCCGCGGGACCAGGAGGGACAATGTAAGGTGCCTGAGCACTCACCTTGCACTGGGGGCGGGGGGGGGAGGTGCAGCCCACTGAGTCCGGCTAGTTCTCCTGTCCTGCTTCACAGAAAAGAATGAAGAGGCGGCCCGGCCGGTGTGGCTCAGTGGTTGAGTGTCAGCCCATAACCAAGAGGTCACTGGTTTGATTCCCGGTCAGGGCACATACAAGGGTTTCTGGCTCGATCCCCAGTGGTGGGGAGGTGGGGGGTGGGTAGGGGAGGCAGGCATGCAGGAGGCAGCCAATCAATGATGTTTCTCATTCATTGAAGTTTCTATCTCTCTATCCCTCTCCCTTCCTCTCTCTCTAAAATCAATAAAAACATATTTTTTAAAGAAGAAAAAGAGGTGAAGAGGAAGGCCAGAAGTCCCCAGGTCTATGGAACTTAGAAAAGGAGAAGGCACCTTGCCCAACATCGAGTGTTTTTCTTGAAACTATCTAGAACTTGTGGCAACAAAGTGGAAGGAATTATTAGGGACAAGCCTGGAGGTGGGAGGAGAAGGGAGGGTGTTAGGAGAGCCCAGGAAAGAGATCAAAGTCCTGACTAAGGTGGTGGTGGAGATGGGAGATGGGTTTCTAATTTCAGAATGATCGGTGTGTCACCAAGGCGATGCCCTGGAACGCGGAAGGCTCTGCGGGTTTCCCACAGATGGCCGGGAAAACAGCCTTCCGGGGCCCCGGATTGGGATACTGCCTGAGGGGGCACAGGGCCCCTTGCTTATTGGGTAAGAACCTCTGGGATGCAGGAATGGATGCCTGCTGTCTGCCCAGCGTCCCGCTCCTACCTCTGTCCATCACCCCTCCCTCTGTCTTTTGGAGAAATTGCCAGTCCACTGTCCAGTCCATCACAGAACCTCATCCTCCTGGTCAGAAATGGACTTGCCGTCTCTCCGGCCACAACAAGTAGCTCAGAAGTGGGCACATGGCTCAGTGTGAGTCACCCACGGTCTTTCCCGGTACTGCCCTTGAATAAGGCCCTTCGTGTGTCTGGATAATTGTGACTCTCGGACTGCCGGGGGCTAGAGTCTGGTCGGTGGAGGAGGTCTGACCTCCCTGGGAAACATGTCAATGTAAGAAGACAAGTAGGAGTGAGTGATGGACACAGAATCTGACTCCTCCCAGACCCAGATCTCCCGTCAGTTCCTACAGCTCCCCATCCCGTGAGCCAGCCCAGGATCTTCCCACAAACTGCCTCCATCCTTTCCTTTTTTCCTTAAGCCAGTCTGAGCTGCCTTTCTGTCATTTACAATCAAACAATTTTTTGCTGATATCAGCGCAAAGGAAAGGAACTTCGGCGACTTCAGTGGCTGTCTCCCTGGCGTGAAGGAATGCGGGGCCAGCGCCTGGACTGCGCACCCACACGAGCGGCTGCGGGAGGGTGGGTGGCAGTGTTGCCCATTCCGTTCGGTCGAACAAAGGGCTTTTATAAGGACGGCGCTAAACAGAAGTCGGCAAACTCTCCCCAGGGGGAGTATGAGCCAGGGACAGCACTTTGGTGCTGCACAGACACATAAACAAAATGTAAGGAAACATCTCCCGAAAGCAAGGAGTGTTTTTAAAAAGTGTTTTAATATCAGAGAGGATGGACTCTTCTCTGCTTGTATTTTAGAGACAATGAGTGAGAACCAGAGAGGAAGACTGGACTGGGCTACTGAGGCCTGGGGTCGCACAGGTCAATGACGTAAGTTTTACTTGTGAACGAGAAACTCACTTCCTGGTAATTCTGTGGCATCAGAGTCTGGGCTGCCTTCACAAAGCGCTGTATCTAATGACGTTGAAAGCACATTTTAAAAGTGTTCAGTCAAGGGCGGAGGCGTGTGCCTCGTTCCCACTGCTTCCTGGTAATTCTGTGGCATCAGCGTCTGGGCTGCCTTCACAAAGCGCTTGTATCTAATGACGTTGAAAGCACATTTTAAAACAGCGTTCAGTCAAGGGCGGAGGCGTGTGCCTCGTTCCCACTTGGTCCCAAGCAAGAAACCGTGGTATCTCCACAGGAACCTGCCTTGAAGACTATGTGGAGAGGTCTAAAGCTTCAAAACACAGGAGAACCCGTCGCTTCTAAACGAAGAACGCCCAACGCCCTTATTTGATTTGTCAGCAGTGAATGCATGCAAGACTAATTCAACGCAAAACCCAAGTCCTGGCAAGTTCGCAGACTCGTGGCCTCCGAGGGGTGCCGGTAGGTGGCGCAGCAGGCTAACTCACGCCCCTTCTCCGACCGCTGGCTGCCTGGCTTCCACTGCACCTCCTGTCTTAGCAGGTGGTCATCGCAGGCCGCCTGATAAGCATTCAGGAAATGCTTAGAACCAGTTCAGCAGAAAGTATCATGTCACCTCAGTGGAGTGATGCGTATTATTAGGTTGTCTCTGCCAAGATTTTTCAGAACCTGAAATCGGCCTATTTCTTTATTTCTTGAACGTATATGAAAACAGGACTTTACACTAATCATATGGAAGTGAACAGGTCATAGACATAAAGTAATGGTTTTTGTCCCCACAGTTGCCTAATTCTAATCCGTCCTATGGGCTAGCCCTTCTTTGCTGCTTGAATGATATCTAGAGCCATAATGTCTCTGGTTGCCCTTGAATAATGAATGGCCTTCTATTTTTTACTTTTACCCCAAACTGTCTTACTTCTGTAGTTAGAATAGTGATTCTTATAACCATCAGACACTGAACTATTTGTGAAGTTAAACCTCCTTGTTCTCCCCTATCTCAGGCTCATTTTAGTCTAGGGCAGGGGTGAGGAGCCTTTTTTTTTGCCAAGGGCCATTTGCATATTTATAACATCACTCATGGGCCACACAGAATTATCAACTTAAAAATTGGCCTGCTCTATTTGTCAAACATTTAGTTAACTCACCCATAATGCCTTGGCAGTGCAAGACCAAATGATTTCACAGGCCTTATATGGCCTGCGGGCCAGACGTTCCCCACCCTTGGTCTAGAGGCTTGCATTGGAGAGAAATGCGTGTACCTTCTAGATTTTTCCCCACTTAGCTTTTCCACTCGTTCTTCACTCGGTCACTCATTCCTCTCGGCCCCTGAGGGTAGCTGTATGGAGAGGAGGAGGACAGCTCGGGAGCAAGACGGTCTTTCCTGGCTGGCACCGATGTAAGATGGCATTCTACCAAACATGAGTTCACAATCAGACCTGTAAAACAGCCCTGGCAGCGTGCTCAGTGGTTAGAGCATGGCCTGTGCACCGACGGGCCTTGGGTTCAATTTCCAGTCAAGGGCACGTAACTCAGTTGCAGATTCGATCCCCAGCCCCAGTCAGGGCACATGCAGGAGGCAACCAATCAATGTCTCATATCGATGTTTTTCTCTCTCCCTTCCTCCCCCATCAGCCCTCCCTTCCCCTCTTTCTATAAAGCAATGGAAAAAAACAAACAAAAAATATAAAACACATAAGGAAACAAGAAAGCATGAGTGACAGCAAAAGTAACGAACTTCAAACTTAGACCCCAAAACACTGCTGATTTTGGCACCACTGAGTATAATAATAAAAGTGTAATATGCTAATTAGACCAGACGTCCTTCCGGACAAAGCCAGGGCTGAGAGGGTGGGTCCCAGGTGCCAGAGGGAAGCCAATGCCCGCAACCAGGGGAAGGAAGGCCTACTCTTGCACAGATTTCATGCATTGGGCCTCTAGTAAAATATAAAATTAGTGCGTTTAATATATTCAAAGAAATAAGAATTTTATACAGGAGTAAAAAGCAAGATGCTTTCAACAATGACCATGCAGATTTGAAAAAATACCTAAATTGAACTTTTAAAAATGAAAAACATACTAATTAAAATTAAAACTGGAAGAAGATTAGAGCCACCTGAAGAGAGAAGTAGGGAACTGGAAGATGAACTTGAAGAACACAGTACAGACAGACAAAGAGATGGAAAATGCAAAAGGTAGATTAAGCAACATGTAGCATAGAATGAAAAGGTCTGACATATATTTAATTGCAATTCTCAAGAGTTTAAAGAGAAGAAATATTTGATATGTTAATAGCTGAGAGTTTTCAATAACTGATGGCAAATACAATCCACAGATTTAGGAAGCACAACAGATCCCAATCTGAATAGATTTTTAAAAAATTCACACCTGGTCACATGTTATTTAAACCAAAGAACACTGGAGACAAAAAGAAAATCTTAAAAACAGAGAGACGAGACAGATCGCTTACAAAGCAAGGATAATTCAGTCGGTAACTGACTTCTCAAAACAACCAACCACAAAAGTCAGAGGGAGCAGAGTGATGACTCGAGAGTGTGGACAGGAGGTAACTATTAATCTAAAGTGTAAGCTCAGTGAAATTATCTTTCAAGAACAAGAATGATGTAAAAACTTGGGTTTTTTGATAAACAAGAACTAGTCGAGTATGGTACCCACAAACTATCACTAAAGACTTCCTTCAGAAAGAAGGGGGAAGACCTCAAAAGAAGATACGAAACGCAGGAAGAAATGGAGTGATGACAGGAGGTAACTATTAATCTAAAGTGTAAGCTCAGTGAAATTATCTTTCAAGAACAAGAATGATGTAAAAACTTGGGTTTTTTGATAAACAAGAACTAGTCGAGTATGGTACCCACAAACTATCACTAAAGACTTCCTTCAGAAAGAAGGGGGAAGACCTCAAAAGAAGATACGAAACGCAGGAAGAAATGACATGTAGAAGAACACGGAGGTGATTATAAAACACTTTCTAAACCGAATCCACTATTTTATAAAGCGAAAGAGCAAGATGGGATTAAAACAACGGACCAAACAGCAGAAAGTCTGGAGGAGGGAATCAGAGTGAAACACTATTTGAGTCCATCTTTAAGGCAAATCTGCAGGTGAACATAATGAAGTTAACTGCTTCATAGAAAAGAACTGAGCCCAGATGCTTCAAGCAAGGGCAGGTTTTCTGTTCGCCCAGGACCCTGGGACCTGCAACGCCAGAGCCTGGCAGGAGGGTCAGCGGTTCCCTGATGTACGTGTTGCTTCTTTCGCCAACGGGTTTTAAGATGCCTCCTCCTCAGGGTGCTGTGGAGTTCCTCAGATCTCTTCGGAACATGCCCTCCCACCAACTGCTTCCTTCCTCACTTCCCCAAGTGCCACTTCTCACAGGTGCCCCTCTGACAACGGGCTGGGCGCCACCCACTGTGCAGCCTTCCAGCTTCCCCTCTCCTGAGGCGGGCAGTCTGCGCAGAGCCATGGCGATGCTCATACAAACCTGTGAAACATGCTGTGCTCCCCCAGGCCCACGGCAGCGACCGATTCCGCTGTCACAGGGCTTAAAGCAACCGGAGACAGCGTGGAGCGTGAGTTCCTCCTGCGGGTCACTGACTGTCAGGTCATGATCAGATGTACAGTGGGGCCTTGACTTAGGAGTTTAATTCGTTCCGAGACCGAGCTCGTTAAGGAGCTCGTTAACTCAAATTACTCTGTCAACTCAATGCAAAAAATCTGCCGAGAGACAGCTGGTATCTCAAAAAACTCGTTAGTTGGGACACTCGTAAGTCAAGGCCCCACTGTAGCTGTGTTCATCATGAGTCTTGACCACACACGGAGGTGAAAAATGCTTTATTTCACAGTTTGAAACATTACAATGCAATTCGCTTTGTATATTTGACACTGAAAAGAAGTCCTGGGCAACAGGCAGACAGTTCAGTTTCGATGCCACAGATGAGTAACAAAAAACGAACAGATAGGTGACGTGGGCAGCACCTTCCTCAGCCTCCGTCCCTTCTCCTTCCTCCCACAGGAGGCTCTCGGGCAGCGTGTATACCTTCGCCCACACAGCGGTGCTCCCTGGAAGCCACGCTGAGGGGCTCCTCTCGTTCAGCCTTCCCGGGAGCAGGTCCAGCCCCACCAGCCAACCACCACCATGCAGAGTAACCGCGCTGCCTCCCTCGGTATCTGCCCTCTTCGTTCTACTGAAAATCCCAAATGAGGGAAGTGGCAGACAGTTAGATCCTAAGCAGGTCACCCCCAAGGCCCGGAAATCTGAGTCTCAAATTTGTACTTTGGCTCAGAAATCCCTCTTCAAGGAGGAGTCTAAAATCTGTGACACAGTTATCCAGGCGCCCCCAGCACGGGGCGAGGCTGAGTCCCCGGCACATCAGCAGTCGCTGGGCAGTGCCCGGGTAGGACGGGCAGCGTGTCTGTGCTCACGGCTTCCCTCCACGGCACCAGGTCGTGGGCCTCGAGAGCAGGGCTCCTGCCACCGTGCTCGGCGGGCGGTACGGAGGGTCAGCCAGACCCCAGGCCCTCAGGAGTCGCAGGAACTGGAAAGAACCCTAGACAGTCCGTGGGCCTGGCTCTGGGTTTTTAAAAGCTCCTTTTCAACTTCTTTCACTTTGTTTGAGGGACCCCAGCATCCCCCCAGCCTCTCACAGACCCAATGAAACAGGGCATGTGGAAGTGGCCTGTAAACACCAACACCCTGAGCATCAGGCAAATATAAGAACCCCCTTCTCGCCACCCCGGCAGCGGGAGCCCCGGCGGCTGCTCGCAGCAGCTCATGAGTGTCCTCGCCCCACTCGGATGTCCAGAGCCCCCAACTCTGAGCCTCACTGACCAGCTTCCTAGGAGGTCAGAGGGGGATCCTGGCAGGAAAAGCGAGGCCCTTGAAGCACCTGGACCCCATGTTGGTCAATCTGGATCCCTACAGCCAAGTCAGTTTCCACTCCTGTAAGGTTCAGGCAGAACCCTGGGTTGGGAGGATGGGTCGTGTAGATTTGCTGCTTCTTGCCCACCCCACATGCAGCAGTCGAGTCATCTGTGTGGGCAGGCGGTTTTGGGAATCGCGGATCCAGCAGAGAAGACCTAAGGCTTGGCGTCCGGAGACCAGATTCCGCGTGTGACTTCACCAATGGGCGACGGTGTACGTCTCCATCGCTAAAGCCGAGGCTGCGGCCTCCGGCAGAGGTGGCCTGAGTCTAGTCCAGGAGCCGTGTGAGTCTTTGAGACGATGAGTAGCACTGACGGGTGTGGCAAAGTGTTTTGAGCATGGAGTGCCTGGGGGTGAGTGGCAGCCCCTCCCCACCCCATGCCAGGGGCAGAGTGAGGCTGAGATGAGGCCCGTCTTCTCTGTAAGACTTTGTGTCAGGAGGGTGGCCACCCGTCTTCTCTGTGAGACTTTGTGTCGGGAGGGTGGCCGGCAGCACTGGAGGCTGCGGAACGGAGCCGGAGCAGCCAGGACAGCGCTCCGGTGAGCACGCGTGGGCGGGACAGCTGGCATGCACTGTCAGCTCCATGACAAACGTCCCCGGCTTCCTAAGGAGTCTCTGCACGGCCCAGAGACGCAGTTCATCTACCAGGGGATACTCTGCCACCTGCATCCACGTGCCCTCAACACGTCCCCAACTCACTGTGACTCACAGGCAAACACAGCAGCTCACCCATCATCCCATGGGCCCTCCGCCTCCCCCTCCCTCTCCCAGGTCCCCTTTCTTTATTAACATTGGCTTTTCCCATCACTGAGAATATCATGAACCAAGATGGACGGACACACAAACAACTAAAATATCAAAATATACCCATTTAAATAAAAAACGCACACTTTAATCTCCGGGTCTGCTGTCACTTATCCATAGCACTGCTTCACATGATGTGCACAGGGCCTCCCAGTTCTTCCTTGGGCATGTCCTGTTTCCCCAGGTCCCAGTGGTCAGAGACCAGTCTCACACCAGACTGGCTTTGTGCCCCAGGAAGCCCGGGAAGGAAGCTGGGCCAGCCCTTCCTTTGAGGACACACGACTCAGGAGAGCAGGAGCAAGGGCAGGCCAGGAAAGCCTGGGCACCGATGGCACCTCTGCCTTCCCTTGTCTGTCAGCCTCACCTCCTGCCCACGTACCCAGAAGCGACTGTCTTCTCTCTTCCCTGAAGGCCTTGATGTCTCAGTCACTCTACAGACAAGCTGGCCCAGCCCCGGTTACTCCATGTCTGTCACTGCCTGCACCTGTGTCGTCCTTGGAATTGCAGGTTTCCAATTTTAGTCCTTCCCCACTGCCTCCTCCACCGTCACCCAAGCCAGAGTGCCCGGCTCGGAGCAGCAGTGTGTGGGGGCTCTGTGGCGGGCGTGGGGGGCTCTTCGGTGGCGAGAAGCCTGATTCAGGGTGCGGATGAAGAGATAATAGCGCCCGCAGCTACCGATGTTCTCCAAGATTGCCTGAGCAAGTCAACTCCAAAGCTGGTGACTAAGAAAGGGTGTTTTAATCATCTTTTCCATCTGAAGCAGGGCCCAAATGGACAGACTAGACCTAGGCTTTTGGAGGCCAGGGACAGCAGCACGTCTAAGACTCAGCACCAGGGTTATGGCTCATGTCTTCCAGCCCTTGGAAGTGCCAGCACTGGGCTGAACTGTCCGCCTGGGTCCTCTCGGACAGGCCAGAGCCACCACGGAGTCCTTGGTAGCCCAGTTCTCCAAGCAATGATATCAACCCATCCACTGGCCTCACCCAGCCACTTCTTCGTTTCATTGCACACGACTGTTTTGGCAAAACCTGATGCAAATGGAATGGTCCTCTGAGAATGAGGCCCAGCTCCAGTCAGGTGGCCCTGGAGAAGCCCAAGGAGATGCTGAAGAAGGAAGCTGTCCAGGGAACCACAGGTACAGGATGGACCCGTGTGGCAGGCGAGCACCCTCCAGGGATTGGACCCAACCACGAGTCCTGCCATATAGCCTGGGGAGAAAGGCTTTGGCCAAAGTCTGTCCAAGAAAGTGGAGACTGTGAGACACCCAAGGCTGGATGGAGTCAGGGATTCGGGGCTGGACAGTGAAGCAAGAAGAAGATGAACATGTAAAGAGAGCAAGGTCTCATGCCTTGAGTAGGAGTCAGTGATGTGGGCTCGCTCACTGGCGGTTCTTCTGCTGGTCTTAGCTGGGCTCCCTCATGTCTGCAATCAGAGAGGGGGAGGGGGAACTGGGCCCTTTCTCCCATCATGCCGTGGGACAGCCCAATCACATCACCTGGCCATGCCAGATTCCAGGGTGGAGAGACAAGACTTCACTTCTGGGTGAGAAGGAAAGTGTGGCCATTTTTTTCAATTTGCACAAATTACAAAACCCAGAGTGATCTATCGGGAGGCAAACCTGTCGTTTAGGCCATGGTGGGGACAGGAAGTGCTCCTCCGGAAGCAGCGTCCCTTGTCTCCCAAAGTGTCTGGAGTGGCCACACAGTGAGGCCAAGGTGCGTGGGCACGTCTCCGGGTCCTGGAACAGCAGAGCTGCTGTGGCAGAAACTACACATGGCAAACGCAGTACAAACCCAGGGAGATCACGTGGAGTTCGGGAGGGAAATGGCCCATATTCCAAGTATGAGAACATGCATTCTTTTCTCTTCAGTCCATTACTGCATCCTCTCCTTTTGCTCCCTCTTCTCCTGCACGTGCAGATGTGGAGCATTTATCGTAAAGCCTGTCGCCATGTGGAGGGAGGCAGGCTCTGTGTGGCCCCAGCTCTTGTTCAAGACTCAGCCGTGTGCAGCAGAGAGAGAAAAAGCAGCTTATGTTCTCAGAATGGAAAATGAACCCACTTAGCTTTCCAAACAGGTATATACTCTCTTCCGTGTTGTTCCGACAACAAATTGAAGTCATTTCTGTCATGAGCTCACTCACAGCTTCTGACTTCAGTGTAACCGCAGTCGCTGAGTAGTGACGAGGAGGAGATGGGATAACACGTATACTTAGCCGGAAGCTCCCTCCCGTCGTCAGCAGAAGGCCTTCTGATAGCAGTAATAAGTTCTGCTGCCTCTCGGCACAGCCAGGAGGCACGGAAATGCGTGCTGGAGGCAGCGGCATTCCTGGAGCTTAGCGTCCCCAGCTCACTCCTGTCAGACTTGGAAAGAATCCTGGTTCGGCTAAGGAGACTGGGCGGGCGAGAAATGCGCGTGTGGAACGTTCCTGCGCGCAGTCACTCCCATGGCGATTTCTCAAACCCGTCACATGGTACTGAGGTTTGGAATCAGCCTCACTCAGGCTTCCCCCATCCCTGGCCAAAGCAAAGATCAGCAAACCTTCCAAGGTGGCGGCCGGAGAAGGTCCCGGCCTGCTGGCGCTTGGATTTGTGTCTTGTCCCCATTGTCCACTTCTGATTCTCGTCATCCAGAGAGATGTCTCGAACAAACATCAGACCACAAGGGACATCCTGGTTGGAAAGTCATTCTGGAGAAGAGCAGAAAGAACCCAGCATGAGACCACACATTGTTTCGAGACCCAGCGCAACAGGTGGTTCCGCGGGCACAGTCCACAGCCTGGCCCGAGCCTGGCACCCTTGCCCCGAAGGGATGCACTCATAGGCTGGGGAGGGGTGTGCATACACGCATGTGCAGGAAGTTCTGCACGCAGGCCTCCCAGCCCATGCAAGGCACCTAGAATCCCTGACGCTGCCTGTTAGAGATGCTCACTAATGATCCCACCTCTCCTTCCACACACCTGCGCGCCTGCCTCTCCAGCTCCCCAGGCCCCCTGCCTACTCACCCCCCATCTCCCCTGCCCCCCATCTCAGGAAGAAGGAGGGGGGGACTAGCCCGGCACCTAAGTTCCTTGCAGCAGGCCCCTCCCTCCGTGTCTGGGCCACCTGCTCTGCCCCCTCCTCTGGCCACCCCAGCCGGGACAGGCCCTGCCCAGGCAGCCCAGCCTCGCCCTCACCCCCACCCTCGCCCTCACCGGCTTCTTGGCGGCGTGACAGTGGGGCTCGGGGGTCGGTGCGGAGCGTGACAGTGGGGCTCGGGGGTCGGTGCGGAGCGTGACAGTGGGGCTCGGGGGTCGGTGCGGAGCGTGACAGTGGGGCTCGGGGGTCGGTGCGGAGCGTGACAGTGGGGCTCGGGGGTCGGTGCGGAGCGTGACAGTGGGGCTCGGGGGTCGGTGCGGAGCGTGACAGTGGGGCTCGGGGGTCGGTGCGGAGCGTGACAGTGGGGCTCGGGGGTCGGTGCGGAGCGTGACAGTGGGGCTCGGGGGTCGGTGCGGAGCGTGACAGTGGGGCTCGGGGGTCGGTGCGGAGCGTGACAGTGGGGCTCGGGGGTCGGTGCGGAGCGTGACAGTGGGGCTCGGGGGTCGGTGCGGAGCGTGACAGTGGGGCTCGGGGGTCGGTGCGGAGCGTGACAGTGGGGCTCGGGGGTCGGTGCGGAGCGTGACAGTGGGGCTCGGGGGTCGGTGCGGAGCGTGACAGTGGGGCTCGGGGGTCGGTGCGGAGCGTGACAGTGGGGCTCGGGGGTCGGTGCGGAGCGTGACAGTGGGGCTCGGGGGTCGGTGCGGAGCGTGACAGTGGGGCTCGGGGGTCGGTGCGGAGCGTGACAGTGGGGCTCGGGGGTCGGTGCGGAGCGTGACAGTGGGGCTCGGGGGTCGGTGCGGAGCGTGACAGTGGGGCTCGGGGGTCGGTGCGGAGCGTGACAGTGGGGCTCGGGGGTCGGTGCGGAGCGTGACAGTGGGGCTCGGGGGTCGGTGCGGAGCGTGACAGTGGGGCTCGGGGGTCGGTGCGGAGCGTGACAGTGGGGCTCGGGGGTCGGTGCGGAGCGTGACAGTGGGGCTCGGGGGTCGGTGCGGAGCGTGACAGTGGGGCTCGGGGGTCGGTGCGGAGCGTGACAGTGGGGCTCGGGGGTCGGTGCGGAGCGTGACAGTGGGGCTCGGGGGTCGGTGCGGAGCGTGACAGTGGGGCTCGGGGGTCGGTGCGGAGCGTGACAGTGGGGCTCGGGGGTCGGTGCGGAGCGTGACAGTGGGGCTCGGGGGTCGGTGCGGAGCGTGACAGTGGGGCTCGGGGGTCGGTGCGGAGCGTGACAGTGGGGCTCGGGGGTCGGTGCGGAGCGTGACAGTGGGGCTCGGGGGTCGGTGCGGAGCGTGACAGTGGGGCTCGGGGGTCGGTGCGGAGCGTGACAGTGGGGCTCGGGGGTCGGTGCGGAGCGTGACAGTGGGGCTCGGGGGTCGGTGCGGAGCGTGACAGTGGGGCTCGGGGGTCGGTGCGGAGCGTGACAGTGGGGCTCGGGGGTCGGTGCGGAGCGTGACAGTGGGGCTCGGGGGTCGGTGCGGAGCGTGACAGTGGGGCTCGGGGGTCGGTGCGGAGCGTGACAGTGGGGCTCGGGGGTCGGTGCGGAGCGTGACAGTGGGGCTCGGGGGTCGGTGCGGAGCGTGACAGTGGGGCTCGGGGGTCGGTGCGGAGCGTGACAGTGGGGCTCGGGGGTCGGTGCGGAGCGTGACAGTGGGGCTCGGGGGTCGGTGCGGAGCGTGACAGTGGGGCTCGGGGGTCGGTGCGGAGCGTGACAGTGGGGCTCGGGGGTCGGTGCGGAGCGTGACAGTGGGGCTCGAGGGTCGGTGCGGAGCGTGACAGTGGGGCTCGGGGGTCGGTGCGGAGCATCACAGTGGGGCTCAGGGGTCGGTGCGGAGCGTCACAGTGGGGCTCAGTGGGTGGAGCTTTGTGAGCCACAGGGCGTGGCCTGCCGAGCGTTATCACTGACCAATGGCTGGCAGTGCGAGCCACTGCCACACCTCAGCTCCCTGGGTACAGGGGTGGCTGTCAGTTCACCCGGCTGCGGCCCAAGGAGCCCTGTGATACTCGGTGATGAACAGGCCTTGTCCTCCCTCCACCTGACTGACAGGTTCCTCTTGGGCGCAGGCCCAGGGGCCCACATTGATGAGGGGGGAGAAAGGCGCTGCCCTTCAAGGGAGAGGGCAGGTGAGTGAGGAAGGCGCCCCAGTGGGAAGCGGCCAGACAAGAGTGGCCCCACATCTGGGCCTCCTGCATTCACTGGCTGTGTGACCCGGGGTGAGTCCCTGGCCTCCCTGTGAGATCCAGGGTCTGCGAGTTAAAATGGGGACATGAACGGTACCTGCCTGTACAGTTATGACAATCAGACGCAACAGTGTAACGTGTTTGGCATTTTACCTTTCACGTAACAAATGAGCAGAAAGGATGGAGCTAATGGGCGGGGTATTGTAGAGGCCACAGGATAAAACATATGAGAAGGCAGGGAAAGGCGAACAGGGTTCATTAAGAGCCTGGAATGGTGACTTCATGTGACACATTGCTTAATAAGTGTGGGAAGGGGGTGTTCTCATCGAGAGAACGTGGCAGGATCACCTAGAATGGCAGGCAGAGGTGCGACCGGGTAAGAAGAGCCTCGGATCCACCCTGCCTCCTGCTCCTGCCCTCACACCCAGCCCGAGCCGCCCCTCCACCCCCTCACCTGTGCCTGAAGCTGTCCCGGTCCTCTCTGTTGTACTCCACGGCCGAGGGCCCCCGGCTCGTCCCACTGCTGCCTCCCATGACGCCCGACCAGTAGTCAGCATTGCTCTCCAAGTCCCGGGACACAGGGAACTGCTTGCTCCGCATCTGATGGTAAGACTGGCGGAAATTGCCATCCTCCTCGTGCAGGGAGCTGAGTTCCGAGATGGTGTTGTTATCTGCAGGGACGAAACGAGGTAGGACAGCGTTCTGCATGCTGGCCAGGACAGGACCGCTGGCCAGAGCGAGACCAGGAGCCTCGGGAACCCCACCCAGCGCTCAGCCCTGTCTGTCCAGGGTGGCGAAGACCTGAACTAGCCTGTTTGTGCCCTTAGCTGGGCGCTGGGTCCAGCTCGAAGATCTCTTGCCTAGAGTGGGAGGCTTTCGTTCTTGGACTCGGAAAACAATCGCCATTGCTCCACCTAAGGCAGGTTTCCCAGCATGGGGGCCCCGCAGCTGTCTCCTCCTACGACATCATCATCTTGTTCACAGGCATGTTGTCGTCTTGCATGATTCTGTGATGAGCTGTGACGACCCCAGGCATGTTGAGCCAAAAGGGGTAAAGGAGAGAGAAGCCCCAGTTCACAGTACCTTCCCTACTGTTGGCCGAGTCCCAACTTCAGGGCGAGTACCGCCCTGGCAGCGGAAGCACCCAGGCCAGCCTCCTGCAGCCGTGCCCGTCCCAGAGCAAGGTGTCCACAGGGCCAGGGGGACATGCACACCTCGCGTCTGACCACCCACCTCCTACTGGAGTCCCCAGACAGTCATCTACATTTATACACTCGTCTAGGAACCTGGAATATCGTCTCCCAATGGCTCCAAGTCCATTTCCAGGGCCAAAGCAGACCCTTCCCCTCCCAAGAGAGTGTTCTGGGTGTATGCGGCCTGGTGGCCAGGACAACTGTTTGGAGGTGCAGGCAGGCCAGGGGGCCGGCTGCACCAGGGCCTGGGCCTCCACGTGTGGTCTAGCCCCAGCCCCACATTGTGAGAAGGGGGGCGGGGCTGGGCACAGCTTTCTCATGCCTTAAGGTGGCCTCGGGAGCTATTTGCAACAGCACTTATGAAGACCAGCATTGCAATCCGGAAAGAAAAATACACACCTATTTATCTGTAGAACTTTGAAATGGATTGAATGTCATTTTTCTTAAAAAAATAAATCTACTTAACCTATTTATACTGTAATTCAAGTCACTTGTTTTCTAAAGTCCTTTGGTTAGAACTTCAAAATATTATCAAAGTCAACATTTGCAACATGGAAGGTCTGGCTGCTGAGCGAGAGGTAAGCCAAGATGGGATGTGGGAGGCACAAATGTGGGCCTGCGTTCCCTCTGCGTCGTCTCCCATGTCCCTGAGAACTGCTGCTGGCTCCCCCCCACCCCGCCCCGAAGGGGAGGGTGGTCCTTCCCACAGCGGCACGTGTCACCTCTCCTTCTCCAGGACACGGCTGACCAGGAGCACCGGGTACTTGGTCATCAATTGGTTTTGGTGGTCAGGGGTTTTGAATTATAATCTAATTTTAAACCTTTCTTCCTCCGAAGGAAAATGGACTAGTGTGTATTTAAACGACAATAACTCAGAGCCTCTTGAGGAATAAAATCTAGAACCTTTCCTTTCTCAGGAGCTTGGTGACGAGCAATCTCCCAGGAAGCACGCAGGAGAGAACCTTAAGATGCACCGAGTGTGAGGACTGTCAGCAGTCACATGTGACTGCCGAGAAATCGCAGTATTGTCCCAGAATGTCCTCAGCCTGCAGGAGCAGCAGAGACCTTTCCTGTCTCTGGGTCAGGAGGGCCGTCTCTGTTTCCCCGTTCAGCTGGTGGGTGGGCCAGGTTGCCTGCTCTAAAGTTTCTGCCCCATTGAACATGACCACCACCCTCCTCCGCTTTACGCACAGTAAGTATTTTAGGATTTGTCAGCCATACTGTCAGGACTATTCAACTCTGCCATGGCAGCATGAAAGGTGTCAGAGATAATATGGACGTGAATTGGCGTGGCTGTGCTCCAATAAAATGTATTCACCAACACAGGAGGCGGGACATGGGTGCCCTGGGAACTGGAGTTTGCAGATCCCTGCACTGGGATTCCAGACGAAAGGCATCCCAAGGGCAAGTGAGGGTCACATGGCTAGTGGACCCTGGAATACCAATGCGCACAGAGTGGATGCCTCCCGTGTTGCAACCTGAGACTGAGATCCACTCTGAGGAGAGATCTTCAAGGCGGCCCCACTCCGTGACCCGCCCCGGGTTCTCTGCCTCAGGGACAGAACCTCCCCAAGCCCGGTGAGCTGCTTTCCTGCCTCATCTCTGTGCCTTTATCGCCCTGTCAACCGGCAGCTTCCAGGACACCGGGTTCCAGTTCTGGCGTCGGTTCCAAGACCTGGCACCGGTGAGCCCCCACTGCCTCCCTTCCCTCCTCTAAAATAAGGAGGGAGACTCGGCACCTCCTCTCTTTCAGCTTCGACTCCCTCAAGTCCTACGAGCTGGAAGGCTGTGGCCACAGCAGCCACGGAGCCACCCAGTCTGCTCACGGGTTTCTGTGCGAAGAGCACAGGACAGAGAGTCAGGAGGGCTGGGTTCCAGTCTGATTCTGTCACTTGCACACTCCGGCTTCTGTGACCTCGTCTTTACACCACACAGGTGGTTCCCGGCCATCTCCAAGGTCCCTGTGGGCACCAAGAGCCCATGACCTTGTGACCTGCCAGGCCCTGGGGACCATTTTCATCCAGGGAGACAGGACATGCCACCTACACCAGCCTAACTCTTCTCCGAGCTGAGACTCCCAGGGCTCCTCTCTGTCCCCTTCCAGGGATCCATGACAACATGGTTACAACCAGCTTGTCAAGTGCGGTGACATCTGCATCCCTGACATTCCCATCTGGAGACGGGCTTTTTATAGTCGGTGGTGGGAGGATGCTGCTGCGAATGCAGCTCCGACGGGAGGAATTTAGAGCCGCAAACATGGAGGAACCTGTTGTCCTTCGTCCGCACAGAGCTCCTCTTGGCTGCGTTCACGGTGGCCCCAGCAGTCCCATCACATCCCTGGCAGGTCCCAGGGTGAGGAGGGTTCAACGACAGAGGTTGGTGCCCTCAGTGCCACGCCTGCCGCACGCTCGGTGCTGCACACCCGCCAGGCTGCCTCTCCCCATCGCTGGCCATTGGGAAGAGTGGGCTGTGTCAGCCGCAAAGGCTCCAAGGTCTGGGTGAGGGAAGTGGTGGGTCCCTGCCCCTACAGACTCCATGATTCAAAAGTTCTCTCACAAGGGCAGCCTCCTGCCTTGCCCGTTCCCTTCTGCTGTCGGGCATCTCAGAGGCACGAAGGCCTCTTTGTACGACACGCATCAGCACACTTGTTCTCTCGCGCACGGGGCCTCCGTGCGGCCAGTGGCCGGCTGTTGTTCAGTGCGAGGGCCTCTCGGGTTGGAAAGACTGAAAGCTTCCACATGGAAGTCTCTGTCCTGGGTATACTTAAAGGGCCAGTGGAGAGGACTGTTTCCATAAGACACGTCCAACCCCAGCGCACAGCCCAGAGATGCTGCCTGACGAGAGATGCCGAACCTGAACCCCGCTGGGACACGTCTCTGTTCTTCACATAGAAGCCCCGTGTCCCTCCCTCCTGCACCCGCCAAGGCCCTTTCTTCAGAATGCTGTCGCCAGCACCTGCTCGTTCTGACCCTGAAAGTCAAAAGCTGCCCAAGTTCGGGGACCCCTCCCCCCAAGTCCCCTTTAGCTGTGAATTCCTGCACGAGGGAGGGCCCGATCACACACAACACAGATGCTCACAGTGGCCCCGCAGCCTCCGGGCCGGGTCAAACTGAGCCAGCTCCTTCTCCACGTAGTACAGGACCTTCATGGAGTCCCGCTCTTTGTCCGCTTGGATCCGGTAACCTTTGCGAACTGTGGAGAAGAGGACACGCGGGTGAGCTGGGAAACTCAGGAGCTGGGCCTCGTGTCTTTTACCAGGTAGAAACCACGGTTCCCACGTGTAGCAGCTCTCCCTGGAGTCACCAGACAGTCATCTATATTTATACACTTAAGACCCCTTAATCACAGGTGACCTCGGAATGGGGGGCCAGCAGGTCGGAACAGAGCTCTATTCTGGTACCTGTCAGTCATGTGCTCACCGCTGCTTCCTGTCCCACCTCCAGTAGCTCCACACAGAGCTCCTTCTCTCCAAGCCCAGGACTCTGACCTAAGTACTCACTGAACACAGACCCTTTCCAGAGGGAGACAGACTGCTCTACAGCCCGAGGCTCACACCTCCACTCGGTGGGAGTTCCTGCAACTTCAAAACAGACACCTCAACATGAGGGACCTCAACAGAGGGGGCCTGAACGCCTCGAGTGGCCCGGAAGATGGTGAAAAAGTTCCACTCCTGGGTGGTGCATAGGAACTAATGTTAGATTAAAGGCTATATAGGCATTAGTACAAAATAAGATGTAAATACGTGATTATCGTTATGATTTCATTGTTTTCCTTTCGCATTTTCCTTTTGGAAAAGGGAATGCCATATTTTAAACACCAGTAATCCAACCTGCTGCTTGCTGTGTGTTACAAGCAGGTGTTATTTTCAGGGCTTAATAACCAACGAAATTAAAGCATCAGACATAATCCCACCTCCTACATTCCTGTCACTCATATTGTCAGGGACAAAAGCTGTTTGAGCCCCACACCCCCTAAGTATCAATCTAGTCCAATACCAGCCCAACAGGAGGTCTAATTGTCACAGATGAGAGAGGAAAGGAGAGCAGGGAGTGCATGGGATGGGAACAGACAATGATGGGAACAGACAGCATGTGCTGGGTGCTCGCTAAGTGCTTGGCCATTGGCCCTCGCGCCGCCCAAGGAAGGTGCTGTTCTTAGCCACAGTGTGTGGCTGAGAAAACTTTGGCTCCAAGGAGTTTCCTAACTTTGCCCCGGAATCACTGGCAGCTCCAGGGCTGGGACCTGCAGTCCCACCGGCCTGGCCATCTTGCCTGCCTTGGAGTCTAGGGTCCCGGTAGGAAGGAGAGACGAGGAGGATGAGGAAGAGGAGCCCAGGCAGGAAGGCCTTAGGCGGCCAGGGTGCTGTGCTCTGAGGCGTGGTCCTATCTCCGCCCGGCAGGACTGTACCCTGAGGTGGAAGCAGGGGACCCAGCGCCAACATCCTGCTCCCACAGCGAGGCAGACGCCACACAGAAGCCACGTGCCTCCGGATCTCTGGTCATGTTACAGTGGACAAAGCCCCCACAGCCATGCACATGGGAGACTGTAATGGGCTGTTCCCCAGCACCCGGAGCACAGCCTGGCACGTGGGCGGACACGGTGCCCACACGCCCCCAGGCAGGCACTGCTGTTGTACGTGAGAGCATGCCAGGCAGTCCACGGCCATCAGATTGTGGCGTCACTTTAAGAAAATCTCCCCACACGCTGTTTAGTGACTCCTCCCGGAGGTCAGATCCATAATCCTTTCACAGAAGCAATTATTAGAAGAAACGGTTTTATGTATCAAGCCGCACGGTCTCCCACCTCTGAGGCGTTTGCAGAGTAGTACAGACAGTTCAATTAAAACGCAATCATCCCCTAAGCTGCTCTGTCTGTTCCGAGGCAGTTCGTCTGGTGGGTGAATACAGGGCTGGGGGTGGGGACTGGGCACCCTGTGGACATGCACTGGTTTATAGAGGGACCCCAAATAAATGGTCCCTCTCTGTTTTCATGTCTGTCAAAGGCAACTCAGCCCCAGCCGGTTTGGCTCAGTGGATAGAGCGTCGGCCTGCAGACCAAAAGGTCCCAGGTTCGATTCCATTCAAGGGCACATACCTTGGTTGCAGGTGCCTCCCTGGCCCGGGCCCTGGTCAGGGCTTGTGCAGGAGGCAACCAATTGATGTGTTTTTCTCTGTCTTTCCCTCTCTCTTCTACTCTCTCTAAGAATCAATGGAAAAATATCCTCGGGGGAGGATTAACCCCCCCCCCCCAAAAAAAGGCATCTCATACTTCCCACCCTTTAAATAACCTCATAAAGAAGAGAAGACAACACAGACCAAAGCCACGGAACCACCGAGTTCTCTGTAATTATTAGGGGCAGCTCAAATGTCGCCGCCTCTCAAGGGTATTGATTCTCGTCACTAGAGAAGTCCTATCTCCTCTGTCTGTCTCACTCCTAACTTCCATGTCATTTAGTTTGAACCTTCATCACGGCCCTTGATATATTCTAGTTTGTTTCAAGTTATTTGTAGAAATGCGAATCTTCCCAGATTCCGCAGGGACGGGAGTCCTTGTCATTTTGTGTAAAAACACGCAGGACCTTGCTGTACAGAGTAGGCACTTACTGAGGGTGTGTGGGCGGCTGCTGCCAGCAGGGTGCGGCGGGTCCCGGTCTCCTAGGAGGAGTATTTTCAGTACTTGTCCTCCCTAGACTGTCAACTCCCCGAGGGCAGACAGGACCGGTTCTGTTTCTCTCACCCCAGCGCCTAGCACAGCGCCGGCACATGGCAGACATCCTGAATGTGTGAGTGAGCGAGTGAGTGAGCGAGTGAGAAGGAAATCAGGAATAGAAGCGGTCTTAGTAGGAGAGGCCACGCAGCTGGCGGGTTGAAGAAGTGACAGGAAGAAGGCTCCAATGGTAGCTGGAGGGAGCAGAAGGCTTATGTAGGTTTTGCTTTATTGTTATTATTGTTGATGATGATTCCCTCGGTAAGAAAACTAGGTGTTTGCAGGCGTAGGGAAGGGGCTGCCCTGCCTTGGCTGTGGCTTCGTCTGGGTGTCTGAGTATGTGAGGCACCGCCTGTAAACTTCCAGCCATGAAGACTGAGCTGGGCTGTGCTCTGGGAACATGCCCAGGTACTGCCCCCTGGCGGCGAGGTCAGCCCCTGACAACAGCTGGAAACCTGGGCTGAGTGCCACGTGGACTGGAGCTGCATGTTCTGTGTCACACAACAAACACGCTCACCGGGCGTGCCTGCCTGCAGGTCCATGACCCCAGAAATCGAACCCTCTCACTGTCACAAAGGACAGAGGCAAACTATTGATCCTGAGCCATCATCCATTGGTTCCAGGAGCTAAAACGCTATTCTCCCTTGAAAAGGTTTTTTCACCGTCAGCTCAGTGCCATGGTGTGGCACACTGTGGCTTTTCTCTCGTGCTGCGAGGAGCAGGCCGTGTCCCCCGGGGCTCAGGAGCACAAAACCAGGCCTTTCCTGACCCCCCCCCCCCCCCCCCCCCCCCCACACACACACTCGATGAGGCCGTTTTCTCTGGGCGGGCCGGAGGGAACGGCCTCATCAGACACTGCTTTGCAGTTTGCACTCATTCTATTCCCATTTGCTAGCCCCCGCAACCACCCCCCTAGACCAGTGGTCGGCAAACTGCGGCTCACGAGCCACATGCGGCTCTTTGGCCCCTTGAGTGTGGCTCTTCCACAAAATACCATGTGTGGGCGCCCACATACAGTGCGATTGAAACTTCGTGGCCCATGCGCAGAAGTCGGTATTTTGTGGAAGAGCCACACTCAAGGGGCCAAAGAGCCGCATGTGGCTCGCGAGCCTCGGTTTGCCGACCACGGCCCTAGACCATACATTCCTTGAGGGGCACTTTATAAGCATTTATTAAATGTTATTGATTTGAAGAATAAACAGAATGGTGTCTGGTTGGTTTCTGTCTGTACTGAGTCTGAAGACCAGAGAACTATGATGGGAGGCGCTATTTTAATAAGAAATGTCCCAGACCGGTGGCCAAAGTCCAACACTTTTTGGAAAATGAGTATGCTCCCCAGTGATGTTTCAGGGGAGGTGGATGGTTTCTCTCTCTTCAGGTTCAGTCTGGTTCAGGTCCTTTGGTTGGCGTGGCTTCCACATCAGCTTCTCTACTTTATTAGCCTTGCCAGCTCTGCTTTTACTGGAGAGGGAATTTTAGGATGTTCATTTTCATGCCACTATAATTTTGAGCTAATACTTTTGAAAAATTATTGTTAAAGGATTTGAGCTAATACTTTTGTCCCCATTGAGGCGCAACTACTTTTCAGTTAATTTCCCCTTTACAGCCAAATGAAACTTAAAAACTTGCAAATAACGCCCATCCCTAAGGCAGGCCCATGGCTGAGGCCTAGCTCTCGGAGTCCCAGCTTACTGAGCTAAGTGAGGCTCTGGGGATGATGGAGCAGCTGCCAGATCCCACCCCCAGATGACAGCAGCAGCTGTGGGGGAGGTGGCGCTGGAAATGTGCGTGTTCTCTGTGTGCACACAGCAGGCAAAGAGACACATCCTCATTAGTTTTGGAAATGACATTTCTAAACTCTACCTGCCTACTCAATTCTTTTGCTAGAAGGGTGAGGGGAGGCAGGTAGATGTGACGAGGAAGTGGATTAGAGTGAGGGAAAAATGGATGCGGAAAGAGCAGGTGGGAGGTGGTGGCAGCAGGAACAAGGGCTGGGATGGAGATGAGGGACCAGGGCTGGGATGGAGATGAGGGACCAGGGCTGGGATGGAGATGAGGGACCAGGGCTGGGATGGAGATGAGGGACCAGGGCTGGGATGGAGATGAGGGACCAGGGCTGGGATGGAGATGAGGGACCAGGGCTGGGATGGAGATGAGGGACCAGGGCTGGGATGGAGATGAGGGACCAGGGCTGGGATGGAGATGAGGGACCAGGGCTGGGATGGAGATGAGGGACCAGGGCTGGGATGGAGATGAGGGACCAGGGCTGGGATGGAGATGAGGGACCAGGGCTGGGATGGAGATGAGGGACCAGGGCTGGGATGGAGATGAGGGACCAGGGCTGGGATGGAGATGAGGGACCAGGGCTGGGATGGAGATGAGGGACCAGGGCTGGGATGGAGATGAGGGACCAGGGCTGGGATGGAGATGAGGGACCAGGGCTGGGATGGAGATGAGGGACCAGGGCTGGGATGGAGATGAGGGACCAGGGCTGGGATGGAGATGAGGGACCAGGGCTGGGATGGAGATGAGGGACCAGGGCTGGGATGGAGATGAGGGACCAGGGCTGGGATGGAGATGAGGGACCAGGGCTGGGATGGAGATGAGGGACCAGGGCTGGGATGGAGATGAGGGACCAGGGCTGGGATGGAGATGAGGGACCAGGGCTGGGATGGAGATGAGGGACCAGGGCTGGGATGGAGATGAGGGACCAGGGCTGGGATGGAGATGAGGGACCAGGGCTGGGATGGAGATGAGGGACCAGGGCTGGGATGGAGATGAGGGACCAGGGCTGGGATGGAGATGAGGGACCAGGGCTGGGATGGAGATGGAGGGCAGTAAACTGGTTCGAGGTTATTCTGAGCTACAGTCTGAAGGACTTGCTGACCAACTGGATGCGGGAAGTGAGGGCGAGGACGAGAGGAGGGTGAAGTCCCAGCTTTTGGCCAGTAGGTAGACAATGCAGCCACTGAAATAAGAAACGGACGAGTTGAAGTAGACAAACCGCAGATTAATTCCGTTTCCCAGAGGCTGAGATTGAAAAGCCTGCAGGCATCCAGTGGAGACGTGAGGAAGGCAGTGGGAACTGGGGACTGGGGATCAGAGGAGAGGTCGGAGGCATCGGCGTACAGACCATGGCTACAGCCTGGGAGTGAGTCGATTTCTGGGGTAGGGGGAAAGGGGGAGAGACAGGAACACCCAGAGGGACAGCCGGCAGGTAGGAAATGTCACAGAACACCATGAGGGGGAAGGCAAAGCAAAGAGTGGGTGAGGGTGGCAGGACCCCTGATAGCTCAGGGGAGCCAGGATGGAGGAGGGCCCACTAGCCTGAGCAAGAGGCCACCTGGCGGGCTGGCTTCTGGAGTGACGGCAAGAGCAAAATGGAAGTTTGGGGAGTTGATGAGAGCAGGGGACATGCAGACATAAAATGTTCAAAACTCTCCCAAGGAGTCTGGCAGTGAAGAGGCGACAAGGGATGGGACGTGACCTCAGAGGGCAGCAGGGGTGCGGCGGATGGTGTTTATGTGACGGAAGGTTTCCAAGGCTGATAGGAGGAGCCCCTGAAGAAGGCAGGCTGGAGATGTGAGGCAGAACGGGCAGTGTGGATGTTCACTGAAGAGAAAACAGAGCTGAAGGGGTGGGTCCAGGCTGGGGAGGAGGAGGCAGCCGTCTTTCCTTGAAGGAGGTCCCCACCAGCCGCCATGAAGGTCGGAGAAGGAATCGGTGCCCCTCCCGTCTCTCCCACGCGGTAGCCAACAGGCTATTCTATACGCGGCTCCTCAAAGCTGCCTTTGCCACCACCCAGTGTGCAAGAGTATTGTGTACAAACAGAATCTGAAAGTTACTGTTGCTAGGTGACTACCCCAAAATGGAGGTGGCATGTAAATATAAAATAGGCTAAATTTACATCTTTATAAAACAGCATTTCTTAACACGTCTAACATGCTTTAGAGAATAATCTACACGGAACGTTGGCATCATCAGTAATTCTGGTCGTGGGACCAGGAGGACAGAAATGTGCCCAGCGGGGACGCCCACACGGCCAGGCTGGTGTGACATCCCCTTTCCCATCACAGAGCCCTGGTTTTGTTCATTTCCAAGGTCAGTAAGTGCTTTGGTCTAAGATATATGTATATATTGATTTCAGAGAGGAAGAGAGAGAAGAGATGGAAACATCAATGATGAGACAGAATCGTCAACTGGCTGCCTCCTGCACATCCCACACTGGGGATCGATCCCGCACGTGCCCTTGACCGGAATTGAACCCAGGACCCTTCAGTCCACAGGCTGACGCTCTATCCACTGAGCCAAGCCAGCTAGGGCAAGAGATGAGTCTTGACCAGTCCAAGCCAATCAGGTTCAGGAAGGGGCCTGGGGCACAGTGCTGGCCACTAAGACTGCAGATGTCGGCGGGAGGAGGGGCTTCTGGCAAAGGCCCGTCACTCAGGACAAAGCAGCGCAGGGAGGAAGCATGTCTGCTTCCTGCCTCAGAATGCAGTTCCCGGAAGGATGGCAGCCACCACGGGAGAAGCAGGGAGCGCCCAGGAGGACAGAGCAAGTGGAAAGAACAGCCCTTCCGTGCGTGATGCCATGAGCTGTTCCACCAGCCAACCCCAGGCCACCTTCCCCAGGGGCTTCTCACCATGTGAAAGAAGACATTTTCCTCGTGCCCAGCCATTTCTAATACAGTTGGTAGCACGGCAGCCAGGCCAAAACGACGGAACTGCCACAAACAGGGGCCGGGGAAGGTTGGAAACAGGAGAGAGGAAGCCCTTGCCATTCTAGGAACCTGAGTCATTTTATTATGAGACTCACTGGTTTAAAAGTAGGGGAGGGGGTGGGTTCTGGTGGGAAGGCAGGAAGGAGGGAAACTGGAGGAAAGGGAAGCAGCCAACAGAGTCTGAGACAAGCTCCCTGGGTGGCTCTTGGCCCTCCACCCCCTGGGCAGCGGCTGCCTTCATTGCTCTAATCCCCGCGTCCTTGATCATTAACTTCACTTCCCTGCCTGTGACTCATTTCCGGTCTCAGGCGACAGGATTCTGTGAATAGTTCCAGGGAGAGAAAAACACAAATACCTATTACTCACTGAGGACGTCTGCTCTGTCCACGGTCGGTACCGACAGTTCACTGCTGGGCGAGGCCCTGGTTCCTGTCCAGATGTCTCCAGAGCACAAATGCCTGTTTTCCGCACCGCAGTGGCTCACCCACCCCGGGATTTACAAATCACCTCCTAAGTCTCCTACACACAGTTTCAACCTTCCTGCTCCGTGACCCTGGCCAAGGCCTCCAGGAGAGCGACACCTTAACGCTGCCCCCCTCCCCTCCTCTGCCTGGTCCATAACCATGACTCATCATCCCTCCGTGGGGCCAATCTCATCTAAACAGGCCCCCGGACCAATGAGTTCCCTGCGGGCTGTGACGCGCACCGTTACCTCCACTTCCTGCCTGATGGGCTCCTCTCCAAGCACCTGTCTGATTGCCCATTCATTTCAGCTCACAATCTCCACCCAGATGCTCACAGGTTTCCCTGAATGACTTCAGTTGCATATCAGCTCGAGGTCCGACTAACTCTCCCCGATGAACCACGTGCTGGGTCAGCATGTCACCTCTCCGCTCAGGACTCTGCTGCCGTGACTCTCGCTACAGCACCGATTCTGGGAGTCAGACGGGTGAGCTGGACACCATCAAACACACACAGTGTGTTATCCCCGCTCGGGCTTCCACCCTGCTGCCTCCTGGGGGTGCCCAATGACCCCCAACTCTGCTCTCCCAATCCTCTCATTCCTGCAGGCTCAGCTCAGACCTCACCTCTTTCCGGAAGACTTGGCAGCCAGCTCTCTCTCCTACAATCCCCCGTCCCACACTCTTTGGCACCCAAATGCCTTGATAAAGCGTCTTTCCTCGGGCTGGAGCACCCTGCCCGGACACAGCCACGTCCCCCACGTCTTGGCGCTCCGCACAGTACGGGCTAGTCCTGAGCACTAGGGAGGGAGGAGGAAACTATTTGCTAACTTCTGGGATGGAGATAACCATTTCCCAAAGAAGCGTCCCTGAGCTGATGTCGCCAGCAGCTAGTCCCCGGCCTGGAAGCAGAGGAGGAGCGCGGGCGGGGCAGAATGGAACCTCATTTACCACTGCGGCTTCCTCCAGTGGAGTCGCTCCGAGCCAGGGGAGGTGGATGCGGCTTGTCCATCAGCATGCCCGATGAGGGGGCTCCTCCCAAGGGGACAGGGGGGATGGAGTAGGGGCCGGGGACACAGGACACAGAGGGAGGGTACCCGGCCTTGGCTGCTTTCCCTGCTTCATACACTGTGGAGGGAGATGAAGAGCAAGAGATTATACGGCCCCACCCTCACAACCCTCACACCTCACGTCCCTGAGGGTGCTCTTTAGGGACCTCCTGGATGTGTGCCTATTTGTGCATGCATGCACATGTATGTGCCTATGCGTGCAGGTGCATACCGTCTCCCAGAGCATGTGTGTACATGTGTATGTTATGTGTGCCTATGTGTGTACACGTGTTAGCACATGCACATGTATGTGTGTGTCTATTTGTGCATGTGCCTGTGTGTGCTTATGTGCATGTGCCTATGTGTGCATGTATGTGTGTGCATGCGCCTTGTGCGCCTGTGTGTGTGTTCTCCTAGGCCTGAGTCACTTAATTGGAAGCACTCCCCGCACTGCCTTGGACTCCTCCAGCTCCGTCAGCAGACGACATCAGGAATTACAGTGTTTGGCACCTGGCAACTGAGTCACTAGCGGCAGCGGGAGCCGTCCCAGCAGCTCCGTGACAGCAGCGGCCCACTCTTAGCCACACTGTGTGTAGGCAGCCCAGCCCTGGGGCTGCCCGGGGCAGCTTCCAGGGGAGGCGGAACCGCTTCTAGCGGCAAAGCAAGCAAGGGGCTGCGTGTGAGCCCAAAAGCAGAGCAGACAACATGACCCTCCCAGAAGTGCGTTCTTCCCGAGAGCACTAACCGACCACGTGTCTCTCTCCTGCGAGCTGTCTGGTAGACAGCAGGGGTTCCAAGCGTGATGCCTACCTGGGCCTAGCACCTGGGGAATCCCCAAAGGAGAACTCGTTCTTCTGTGGGCCCTTTGGTCATGGGAGCACATAAAACCCGCCAGTGGCTGGATGGTACCCAGGACTGTGGTCTGCACACTCTGCTCGTCAAGAGGGGTTCTCTGCTGTGAGAGGCGTGACCAGAGAAGGTTCCTCGAGTCTGAACGCCCCGGGAGAGGGCAGGCGCCTCTCCCACAGCCTCAGCCTCCTGCACCTGCCCTTCCTGCAGCCAAGTCTCAACGAGAAGGCACATGCTGGTGACGGGCGTGGACAAGGATGGAGAGGTGAGTGGATGTGAGACAGCACACAAGGGTGTCGGCTCTGGAAGCGGGGCTCCCGCGGGGAGGGAGCATGGGATGAGCGACACTTTGGGCGGAAGGAAAGGAGGTGGAGAAGGAAGTCAGGCACACAGCCGCCCAGTGGGTCATGGATCCTCGCGGGCTGCCCCCCGCCCCCGGGGCCCTTTACTCACAGGCCTGAGGGCAGCAGCAGGATTCCGGGCAGCACGGGCAGCGGATGTAGCAGCAGCAGCTGTGCGGGCAGCACTGGCACCAGCAGATGCCCACCAGGACGAAGAAGAGGAAGACGCCCAGGATCACCAGCCCCACAAACACCCACTCTGGAAGGACGCACAGAGAAACCCGCGTCAGGATGGCCCGCTCGCCGGCCTCCCCATGAAGAGGCAGACGGGGGGCCTGGGACAGAGGGCACAGAGCCCCCAAACTCGGGAGGCACTGGGAGAGTAAGAAGTGCAGACCCCCCGGGGCTGGGGCGTGAAAAGGATGGTCACCAGGTCCTGTGAGCACAAGCCACGGTGGGCTCAGGGCCCGCCCGGGGAACGGGTTTACCATGTTGACTGCAGTGTCAGGACTGGTGTGGGACAGGAGCACAGACTGGTGGCTGGGGAGGGGTCGGGTCTGCTGAGCTAGAACATGGGTTCTGTGAGTACGTGTCCTGGGGAGTCGTTGCTGGAAGTGTAAGCCCTGAGAAACTTCTCCATGTCTACCTGGTGCAAATCAGAACGTATTTAGGTGGTCCGTGTCCTTATGTCTCCATCCGTTCCCCTGCCCATCGCCCGGAACGCCTTTCCTGAACTCGGCATCGGGGCTAATACCTGCCCAGCGAACCATGACCAGAGACAGGAGAGCGGCTCCCAGAGAGAAGACGCTGCCCCGTCCCCGGCTGCCGACTGGCTGGAGGGCCCAACTCCCACTGGAGGCGTGGGAGGCCGGAGTGAGCCTCGGTTTCCCTTAAAAGCTAAAAGACTAAAGCAATTTCGATTGAAAATCATCTACCAAAACCCCTTTACAATGGACTTTACGCGTTATTTTATTAAATTTTGGGTATTAAATACTCCTTCGGTTAAGTGGCCATTCAGTTAGAGCTTGAAAACGTGACGTTTTTGTTACGTAGGTTTGTGATCATGGCAAAGCTATTGATTGATCTTTGTTTAGACAGATTTCCTCATCCCCCTGAATGACGTTTTTGTTACGTAGGTTTGTATCATGGCAAAGCTATTGATCTTTGTTTAGACAGATTTCCTCATCCCCCTGAAACACGTTCAAAGCGCCAGGCCGCTCTGCAGACAAGAACGAGAGACCTCGTCACTCCTGTGGTCCGGAGAGCCTTCCTGCTGAGGCGCTAGATGGCTGAGGGCTTGGCTGGGCCTTGGAAATAACAGACCACAGTACCCGAGACAGTGGTGAGCCCTGAGGCTTCGGTGAGGTGTGTGGTGAGGTGGCCACAGGCGGGTCAGGCAGCCAAGGAGGAGAGACTGCAGGTGCCCTTGAAGAAACACTGTTATCCGAGAAAGGATTCTTGCAGCCAAAAGGGAGGGGCGTTCGGGTACCCAGGGGCGGAGATGAAAAATACAGTAACTCTTTCTTGGGGGTATAATCTCTCATTTGAAGAAGCGGTGCAGTGTGACATTGTTCCTTTGACGTACCAACTGACAATTCTGGATAAGGGGGATCGCAAAGCGGCAGCTCTGTGTGACCTTGGGATGGACATGAAGAGGAATGTCTGTACTGGGTCCGTCAGCTATTGGGAAAGGGCCAGGGAATTCACGGGAGAATAATGAGGGAAGCGCTACTGGGAAGACTCTGGGTGTTTCTGAAGCCTTGAATCAAATCAAAACCGATGGTGGTGAATATTCTGTATCTCACTGCTGCTGCTAACTCTAGGCAGCTCTGCAACCTTGGGGAGAAACCTCCAAAGCAAGAGGGAACCCTTTCCTACCCCGAGTCTGGATGTGCTGCCCCCTGGTCCATCCCTGTTCTGTCCGTGCCTCTTCCAGGCGGCACCAACATGATGGCGGCTTGTCTAGGCTGCTGCGTTCAACTTAAGCTACACGGAGAGACAGAGGTGTGCATTCGGGACAGGTGTCCCTGAGAGAGTCCACAGCCCCCGCTAGGACTTAGGGGCCCCAGAAGGCCCTGAAGTTGTATACAAAGCAGAGTAGGTATGCAGATGCGTGTTCTTCAAGGGAGGAGGGCTGCATAGCTTTCATTAAGTTTGAAGAAAAAGCTCTGATAAAGTTATAAAGGGAAATTCAGAGTAACATGGTTGCACATAATGACCGGGTACACATGTAACTTAGGGCATAAGGAATGCAGACAAGTAACGACTCTGTTCAGGATACTTAGTGCTATTTGGGGGCAGCTGAGACACTGGGCATGAGGTGGCCAGGGAGCCCGCATGCCTGGCACGTGTGGTCAGGGCTGGGTACCCATCTCAGCCATTTTTAATTATCACTACTTTTTTAGGGTCTAGTAACAGAAGAAATGCAATTTAAAGGCTCTCCCAATGGGCTTAGTTCATCCTGGAAAAGACCACAGACATATATAGACAAATGTGCAAATACATTAAAGGAGCAATTAGTCACTAATGCAGAAGCCAGACAGATGGAATGACAGCAAATTAAGCAAACAAAGAGTTAAATGACTGAATACCTGGCATAATCTCCACAGCGAAGCTGGGCAAGAGGTCAGCAAGCAGCCCTGTCCTGCCTAGAAGAGGTAGGAGGGAAAGAGAAGGAAAGAGGTTACTCCCAGGGAAACACAGCCTGGGCCTGGCTGCGGCAGCGCCACCCACACGGGGCCTGGCCCAGGCTCTTGGTGGTACTCGAGGCACATCCAGCGGTGGGGCTCGGACAAGAGAATGACTTTCCCTGTCAACCTCTGGCAGCTACGTAAGTGAACTCTGCACCTACATCAGGTGGAAGCAGAAGCAGAACTTCCCCTCCAACCACCTATAGGAGGAGGGAATGCCTGCCTCACCCACCAAGGGCCTGACCCAGCAGACAGACATGCCCCATCTCCACACACTTTGCATCCTTCTCGCACCTTTTATTGGAAAAGTCCACCCCATCCGTATCCAGGCGTTCAGCCTGCATGTCCATACATCCGCACGCATCCCTACACCCAAACGAAGTGCATATTTAGTTTTAACTCGGAATGATCTCGGTATATAATTCTAATTATAGCCTGGAGATATTTCAATGACTAAAATTTCAAAGGCAAAGAAGAGATAAGCTAGATCGGGTACACGCTCCTCTCCTCTGGCTTCGGAAATGCTCTGTACGGTATGGCTTTCTCATATGGCACCCACAGCTGGCGTGGCGTGGACCCAGCTGCCTTCCACGTGATGAGGCAGAGAAGCGTAAGGGCTGGTGTCGGAACAAACAGGTGCCCCTCGAGGCTCGCTGGCAAGGAGCTGTGCAGGAGGGGAGCCACTGGGAGATGTGGGGAAGGAGGCCAGTCCTGTTATAAACTCGCCTCCTTTATAGGACGAGGTGCCAAGCGCTTGCACCACGTTCTCATATCACAGTCGGTGGAAAGGCCCAGCTGGGACTTCCCCGCACCAGACGCCCAGCCACACTGGGGTCTCGCTCATCACTGAGGTGCGCTGGGAAACAGCTCGCAAGCCGCCTCCTGCCAGGCTTGGGATGGCAAAGGGTCACCCTGGCACCTGAATGCTGCTTCATTTACGTGTGTGACAATGCACCTAGAACAGCTCTTCCAGTACAAATATAATGTGAGCAGCGGGTCACTGTAGGGTTTCTAGTAATCATGTTAAAAGAGCAAAAAGAGGCCCTGGCCGGGCAGCTCAGCTGGTTAGAATATCATCCTGATAAACCAAGGATGCGGGCTCGATCCCCAGTCAGGACACATACAAGCAGCAACCAACGAATGCATAAATAAGTGGACCAACAAATCAATGTTTCTCTCTTTCTCTCTAAAATCCATCAGTTAAAAAATTTAAAACGAGTAAAAAGACTGAAATTAATGGCTATTTTTACTTATACCAATGCAGCCAAAGTGTGAGCACTTCCCAGGCCCGTATCACCTCAACTGTGGGGTCTGTTTCATGCCCGTGGACTTGGTTCATTCAGAAAACAGCCCTTCCTGTTCAAGTTTCTAGAGGTGGAGTCGAGGAAAGTCACTCACGTGTGGTTTACATTTTGAGGCGAAAGGCCATGGCTGGGCACTGGCCCCTCCTTCTTCAAGCCGCCCCACCGAAGAGCAGCCCCGACAGAGGTCCAGGAAAAGGCGCGCCCAGCCGCGGGGAGGACGTGTCCTGGGGGCTCGGCGTTAGGGAGGTGGAAAGGGATCTTGGCTCACTTTGCTTTTCTTGGCTCTCCTGACTCTGCAAGGCCAGTGCCTCCTGGGAGAGGTTGGGTCAGAAATGTGGACCGGGCTTCACAAAGCTTGTCACTCGGACAGAAGGACAGGCGTCCCGCTTCTCATTCTCTCTGAAGCCACAGCCCAGAGCTGATGCTCCTGAGGCCGGGACAGCTTCCCACGTGCCCCGTGTGGTGGCCCCATGGCCAGGCGGTACCCTCTCGCAGTCCAGGGGGGAACATGACAGGGCTTTCGCCTGAGGACAGCTGGAGTCAGGGGACAGCGGACACTGCCACCCATCATGTCAGCAGTGAGACCATGTGCGTCACTGGCTCGCACACCGTGACTTATTTTATTGGATTAAAGGCACTTTGAAAGGGGGGTTTACACTGGGAGGTGCCCTTGAAGAAACACTGTTATCCGAGAAAGGATTCTTGCAGCCAAAAGGGAGGGGCGTTCGGGTACCCAGGGGCGGAGATGAAAAATACAGTAACTCTTTCTTGGGGGTATAATCTCTCATTTGAAGAAGCGGTGCAGTGTGACATTGTTCCTTTGACGTACCAACTGACAATTCTGGATAAGGGGGATCGCAAAGCGGCAGCTCTGTGTGACCTTGGGATGGACATGAAGAGGAATGTCTGTACTGGGTCCGTCAGCTATTGGGAAAGGGCCAGGGAATTCACGGGAGAATAATGAGGGAAGCGCTACTGGGAAGACTCTGGGTGTTTCTGAAGCCTTGAATCAAATCAAAACCGATGGTGGTGAATATTCTGTATCTCACTGCTGCTGCTAACTCTAGGCAGCTCTGCAACCTTGGGGAGAAACCTCCAAAGCAAGAGGGAACCCTTTCCTACCCCGAGTCTGGATGTGCTGCCCCCTGGTCCATCCCTGTTCTGTCCGTGCCTCTTCCAGGCGGCACCAACATGATGGCGGCTTGTCTAGGCTGCTGCGTTCAACTTAAGCTACACGGAGAGACAGAGGTGTGCATTCGGGACAGGTGTCCCTGAGAGAGTCCACAGCCCCCGCTAGGACTTAGGGGCCCCAGAAGGCCCTGAAGTTGTATACAAAGCAGAGTAGGTATGCAGATGCGTGTTCTTCAAGGGAGGAGGGCTGCATAGCTTTCATTAAGTTTGAAGAAAAAGCTCTGATAAAGTTATAAAGGGAAATTCAGAGTAACATGGTTGCACATAATGACCGGGTACACATGTAACTTAGGGCATAAGGAATGCAGACAAGTAACGACTCTGTTCAGGATACTTAGTGCTATTTGGGGGCAGCTGAGACACTGGGCATGAGGTGGCCAGGGAGCCCGCATGCCTGGCACGTGTGGTCAGGGCTGGGTACCCATCTCAGCCATTTTTAATTATCACTACTTTTTTAGGGTCTAGTAACAGAAGAAATGCAATTTAAAGGCTCTCCCAATGGGCTTAGTTCATCCTGGAAAAGACCACAGACATATATAGACAAATGTGCAAATACATTAAAGGAGCAATTAGTCACTAATGCAGAAGCCAGACAGATGGAATGACAGCAAATTAAGCAAACAAAGAGTTAAATGACTGAATACCTGGCATAATCTCCACAGCGAAGCTGGGCAAGAGGTCAGCAAGCAGCCCTGTCCTGCCTAGAAGAGGTAGGAGGGAAAGAGAAGGAAAGAGGTTACTCCCAGGGAAACACAGCCTGGGCCTGGCTGCGGCAGCGCCACCCGCACGGGGCCTGGCCCAGGCTCTTGGTGGTACTCGAGGCACATCCAGCGGTGGGGCTCGGACAAGAGAATGACTTTCCCTGTCAACCTCTGGCAGCTACGTAAGTGAACTCTGCACCTACATCAGGTGGAAGCAGAAGCAGAACTTCCCCTCCAACCACCTATAGGAGGAGGGAATGCCTGCCTCACCCACCAAGGGCCTGACCCAGCAGACAGACATGCCCCATCTCCACACACTTTGCATCCTTCTCGCACCTTTTATTGGAAAAGTCCACCCCATCCGTATCCAGGCGTTCAGCCTGCATGTCCATACATCCGCACGCATCCCTACACCCAAACGAAGTGCATATTTAGTTTTAACTCGGAATGATCTCGGTATATAATTCTAATTATAGCCTGGAGATATTTCAATGACTAAAATTTCAAAGGCAAAGAAGAGATAAGCTAGATCGGGTACACGCTCCTCTCCTCTGGCTTCGGAAATGCTCTGTACGGTATGGCTTTCCCATATGGCACCCACAGCTGGCGTGGCGTGGACCCAGCTGCCTTCCACGTGATGAGGCAGAGAAGCGTAAGGGCTGGTGTCGGAACAAACAGGTGCCCCTCGAGGCTCGCTGGCAAGGAGCTGTGCAGGAGGGGAGCCACTGGGAGATGTGGGGAAGGAGGCCAGTCCTGTTATAAACTCGCCTCCTTTATAGGACGAGGTGCCAAGCGCTTGCACCACGTTCTCATATCACAGTCGGTGGAAAGGCCCAGCTGGGACTTCCCCGCACCAGACGCCCAGCCACACTGGGGTCTCGCTCATCACTGAGGTGCGCTGGGAAACAGCTCGCAAGCCGCCTCCTGCCAGGCTTGGGATGGCAAAGGGTCACCCTGGCACCTGAATGCTGCTTCATTTACGTGTGTGACAATGCACCTAGAACAGCTCTTCCAGTACAAATATAATGTGAGCAGCGGGTCACTGTAGGGTTTCTAGTAATCATGTTAAAAGAGCAAAAAGAGGCCCTGGCCGGGCAGCTCAGCTGGTTAGAATATCATCCTGATAAACCAAGGATGCGGGCTCGATCCCCAGTCAGGACACATACAAGCAGCAACCAACGAATGCATAAATAAGTGGACCAACAAATCAATGTTTCTCTCTTTCTCTCTAAAATCCATCAGTTAAAAAATTTAAAACGAGTAAAAAGACTGAAATTAATGGCTATTTTTACTTATACCAATGCAGCCAAAGTGTGAGCACTTCCCAGGCCCGTATCACCTCAACTGTGGGGTCTGTTTCATGCCCGTGGACTTGGTTCATTCAGAAAACAGCCCTTCCTGTTCAAGTTTCTAGAGGTGGAGTCGAGGAAAGTCACTCACGTGTGGTTTACATTTTGAGGCGAAAGGCCATGGCTGGGCACTGGCCCCTCCTTCTTCAAGCCGCCCCACCGAAGAGCAGCCCCGACAGAGGTCCAGGAAAAGGCGCGCCCAGCCGCGGGGAGGACGTGTCCTGGGGGCTCGGCGTTAGGGAGGCGGAAAGGGATCTTGGCTCACTTTGCTTTTCTTGGCTCTCCTGACTCTGCAAGGCCAGTGCCTCCTGGGAGAGGTTGGGTCAGAAATGTGGACCGGGCTTCACAAAGCTTGTCACTCGGACAGAAGGACAGGCGTCCCGCTTCTCATTCTCTCTGAAGCCACAGCCCAGAGCTGATGCTCCTGAGGCCGGGACAGCTTCCCACGTGCCCCGTGTGGTGGCCCCATGGCCAGGCGGTACCCTCTCGCAGTCCAGGGGGGAACATGACAGGGCTTTCGCCTGAGGACAGCTGGAGTCAGGGGACAGCGGACACTGCCACCCATCATGTCAGCAGTGAGACCATGTGCGTCACTGGCTCGCACACCGTGACTTATTTTATTGGATTAAAGGCACTTTGAAAGGGGGGTTTACACTGGGATCCTGTATTTCTGAAAAGCATTTTGCTTCCATCTTCTTGCCTAGCGATTCCTGAGAACTGCCTTTGGCAGCTGGACATGCGGTATCTTCCCTTCCTAGTCTAACCCGTCACGTCCAATGAAGGCCTGACCGGGAGTCCACACAAGGCAGCAAACGCCCTGCTTTCCGGGCCTTTCCCAGCCGGGACCTCGCTCATCCTCCAGGGTTCGGTGTAAGAGCGGCAGTTACATGCCACTGAATGTCTGAGAAAAGGATGGAGAGACGACATTGCAAACAGAGGGCCCCGTTTTCTTTTCAAACATCGTTCAAGCTATTATAGAAAACGGTGTTCATGAAGCTTGGTTTCCGAACTTGGCAGAACCCATCACCTTAAAGACATTTCCACAGGAGTCACCCCAACAGCTCAGGCACACGAACCATTAGCACCAGCACCAACATGAGCACCATTCCATACCAAAGCATCACACATGTCACAGCCCATAATACTCACACACCTGGGCTTGAATGATCATGGCAGCAACGTGCACAGTGGATAAAACAAGTTACGTATCGTCCCACACAGTCCCCAGGCAGCCGCTGTTTGCCACAGACACCTTCAAGTTACCCCTGAATGCTTTGTGCTATTCCTCGGACCCATTACTCCTGATTGTCTCCAATTCATTCATTCATTCATTCATCAAGAAATGTATATGGAGCCAGGTGGAGACACAGAGGGGAACTGGACGCGATCCTTACACTCTCGAGGCTCTCAGTCTCGCCTGCAGCCTGTCCAACGGTGTGAGTATAAGAACTCGGTGTTGGGATCTGCTTCAGCGTCACAGGACTTACCTGAGGTCAGGGACCGTCCTCCTGCCGCGTGCAATGGTTTCACCAGCCTTCCTTGCATTTTAACATCGGGTTCCACCTGGTGCTGGGACCTTCCCCCAGAGACATGGCCTGATAGTCACAACAAACCCTGTCCTGTGACATCCCCCGAGACGTGAGCGCTCCTCTCACGGTAGGCCAGGCCCTTCCATGCACTTACTCCCTTCTTCCCGAAGATAACAGCGCATCACTTCTCACTGCCCTTGTTTGTGTGAGTCCTCGTCCCACACAGCCTCCCTGCCTCCAACGTGGATTCCGACAGCCATAAGGAAGCTGCGCTGAGAAGGTGGGTGTGCCATGCTCGGAGGACCCCGGGCACCCTGCCTCAGAGCTGGTCTCCGGCTGCAAGGAGCACCGCACTGAGGACGAAACCCTCCCACAAGAGGAGGCACCTCACCCTCTGGACCGGGAAGTGTTTCCAGTAGCAAATACCCTCTGTGGGGTATGCTGGCTTCTGATTGGCTGCTCACAAGGGTGCCCTTGTCCATCCCAGAAGGAAACAGGCTCTTCATCAGCGCAGGAAGGGAGCATTCCTTCACCGAGCCCTGGTCCATGTGCTGGAGAAGGGGGAGCACCCTGGACTTGGGGCTCAATGGTAGGAGCATCCTCAAGGCACCAAAACATCCCAAAAGGTCATCTTACCATCGAGGGGACTGAAGGCCTGCCCCACCTCGCACCCCACAGGTTGTAACCCCCAGGCTGGGGTATGTGTAAGGCGGCCATCACAGAGATACAATGTGCTTACAAGCTTAGCCAAAAAGAGTGTTTGTCTCTACTCTTGAAACTTAAATCCAAGCCCTGATAACGAGTCCAAGCCTTCAGAGAGCAGAGGTTAACCACGTTTCCTTTGTCCTGGTGAGGCTGCTGCTGCGGACAGCGTGGTCACCTCCATTCCTTTCCCTGCGCTTATTCACTTGGAGTCCTCCTGGGCTTTGCAATGTTCTACACAAATGACCCCTGGCGCTTTCTTCCCCTGCCCTGAGGTTCCCTCTTCTCCCTCTGCCTAACGCACGGGTGGCTTCCTCCCACAGCCAGGCCTTCCTCAGACCCCAGGGCCAGTTTTCAGGGACGCACAAGACCCACCCTGCTCTCTCAGCTCCTAACCCCCTCAAATGTTTCTTTTCAAGTCTTTGAGGAGAGAAGATGCCTTTCTCTGGCTCTTTGAAGTGTAAACTTGTTTCTATGGCTATTTGGAATCCCAAATAGATAGGAAATTTCCCCAGAGCACACACATCCCTGCTTTTATTCTGTATTCCCCCGGCAACCATGCATTCAGTGAGTTTATGATTACCCGTCACGAATGCGGAGCTAGCCTCCCTCTCTTTATATGTATTTATAGACTATGTATGCAAGCCTTTCATATGTGAACTCTTTCTTTTTATGTCCTTTACATTTTAGTTCACTTTAAACTATATTGAATAATGCTGACATTGGATTCCCTCCAATACTAATAATGACTAGTATTAGACCATCTGCAATTAACTGTTCATAAATGCTTTGGGCTTTTTGGCAGTGATTATAAGGTTGGTCCAAATCACTGACTTCTATTCACACAGAAGTCAGATTTGACAACTAGAAAAGATCTTGGAGGTCATCTAATCTGTAACCCACCCATGTTTTTAGGAACCTGAGGCTCAGAGAAGTTACAAATTTTACCAAAGTCACGCATCTGACTAACGATCAAACCAAGAGTAGAAACTAGATCTACTTGCCCATTCCAGTATTTATTTTTTTTATTGTATTACATTTTATTTTATTTTATTTGCCAATACCTCACTTCCTCTCCAGATTTGCTTGTTCTTAAATTTAACTGCTTCCTCATCTCCTGGTATTTGCAGTGAGAGACCCTCAAATGTGTTTGTGGCATCATTGCCCTACTTAAATAATTGAAGTGTAATTTTTGGATGTAGAAAATGTTAGAGGTGGTTAAAAATTTCAGCACCTTTTACAGTTGCAGCCAGAAAATGATCACTGAGTAGTCGTGACCCTATGATCTAATGAAAGGGCATTCACCATGCTGCTACAAACAAATAAACAATGATAATA